GCAAGTATAACTTTGAAAGACCTTCAGAAAGCTTGGAGAACTACTGCTCAAGAACACTTTAAAAACACAAAAGTGTCATTTGAAGCAAGATATCCAGAAAGGAGGGGCGGCTCAAGACTTTTGCACAGAACAGTACATATGTTGACCTAATTGTATCTTTGGCCAAAACTAATGAGCATCCACCACTGTAACAGGATAGACACATGAAAGATGATAAGTAAAAGCAAAATATGTCCACTGGAAGTATAAATAAGATCTATTAATCATTAATTCTATGGTTTCGCAGATTCAGACACACAGTCTGCCATCGGTTAAACCTAGAGTCGGTTTATAAGCACATTCTCCCAGGTTCTGGAAATCCAGAAGTGACAACCCTGCATTCGGAGGTCGGACATACAGTCGACTACATCTTCTATTCTCCAAAACGTGTTCTTACTGGTCGACAAGGTATGAGGAGGTCTGACACGAAGAATTTTTAAGATGTTCAAGCTCTAAATTAATTATTTGTGACATTAACTATATTGTGTTGTTTATTGTTTCTTTTCCCTAGCTTGTGCTAGCTTTCTGAACGATGGCCTGAAACTCATCGGGTCTCTTTCTCTTCTGTCTGAGGATGTCTTGTGGTCAATGAATGGCCTTCCCAATCACATATTCCCATCAGACCATCTCAGTCTTCTCGCCAAATTTCAGCTGGACCTCAGTAGTGCTTGACGGGAAGAACTGTGATTGAATGTTGGAACATATTTTCTTTCCAACTGTTCATTTATACATGTTTTTGTTATAAATACATTTTTTCTGCTTCACTTCTGGCAACAGAATCACAGTTTTGCAACTGAATAGACCTTCATTTTTTTCCCCCAAATAGCATCGTAAATAATGGACACCATTTTTCAGTTTACTTTTTTTGTGCTTTTTATTAGATAAATATTGAAATGTGACAATTCTTTAATGATGCTTTAACAGTTTCTTTTAAAAATGCAGCCATTGATTGCTTTGTTGCTGGTGTGGAAACTACATGGACCTGTTCATGTTGCTGTTGGTGAATGTTGTTTTGTTTGGGGTGGAATTTTTTTCTTTTAAATTTAGTTTTGAAACTATGAATATTTTTTCAGATTGTTAATAATGCTGAATAAATATATTCCTTAAATGTGTGCATCTCCCTGTGTTTACTGTCTGGTGATGTCTGGATGACATGAATTAATATTTTTGTGGTGTTGATTTTTAAATCATGATGAATCTTAGTGTGAAAGGGTTAAATGTAGGCTGTAGAGCAGGGGTGGGCAATTCCAGGCCCCAAGTGCC